TAGGACTAAGCATATCGGTAGTTTCTGTGGACCTGTCTGCCCGTTTAGTGAGTGCACTGCGCGTGTGCGCACTTGTGTGGCATTGTTTCGGATGACCTAATTAAAATAGCGTCCCCCCATCAAAAAAATCCCCACTACACCACTGCCCAACACTGTCAACTACAGGTCAAGACTGTACCAATTTGCCGTAGTCAGTTTTTAAATAATTCTCTATTGTTTCATACAACCCAGGCCAGGGAAAAAATATATCTGCAAAACTGTTTATATTGTATGAATGAATTTGGTGGCATTTCAAGGTTTAATTTGACTAATTGCAGTACTACTTTATAAACAACGTTTATTTGATAGAGATAGTTTACCCGCCGCCCCCCTCTCTGAGGGAGATGACCCCGCTCTTCTTTGAGTGTGAGACCTTCCATCCCCGCTGCCTGCTGTCATAAGGGCGGCCGCTCGCCCTTTGACCCACAACTACAACAACAGTACACTATAAGACATTTCGTGCAAATTGCCGATAAAAAAAAATGTGAGCCTGTGCAGCCCCCAGTCAAAATGCTGCCCTGGGCAACGGCCCATGTCGCCCATATCAATATCCGCCAATGCAGGTGCTAAATAATGAAAGGCTTTGAAGATCAGTAAAAAGAAATCAATTCTTAAAGATACTGGTTACCAATAGAGGGGCAATGTGATCTCATTTTGATGTACTGGTTAAAAACATGGCTGCAGCAGTCTGAGCTAATCATGATTATCCTAACCACTTTTTGGGGAGACCATAAAATAGAGTTGCAATGATCAAAGTGACTTGTATACTTGTGTGGTCTCATTTTTGCAATGTTACTCAGATGGAAAAATTTAAAATGCGACCTTTGTTAAAATGGCTAATGAAATTAAGATCAGAGTCAAAGATCACGTGTAGTTTCTGACGTTCTGATTGAACATCAGTAGGAGTAGTAATATGTGATAACAGTAAATATGCCTATACAATCTTCACATTTGTCTTTCTTTTTTGGAAGAAACGTAATTACAACTTCCAATATAAAAGTGGATTAAAAAAAAACAAGCTCTAATAACATAATGACAGATCCTTTAAGCCAATGCTTCATCATTATCATCATCCTCATAATTATTATTACCTTGTTTTTTTATTAAAATGTAAACTTTATACTTAGAAACACATTCAGGACTTATAACAAATGAAATCCTTTGAATAAAAAGAGATGAATAACTATTTAAAACCATTCAAACCATTTGTGTATTTAAGATCGGAGCCCAGTGACAGGATGTTGTTTGAGAGTGATGCTCTAGTGAAGGAGGACTCCTCTGTCCTAGCATATCTCACTTCCAAGCTAAGACTCAAGGAAGTGAAACAAGTGAGGGAAATGAGGAGGCAAATAAGGTTTTAGGATGAACCTGTGATATGTGGTGAAGCTCTGAGATGTGAATGGTCAACAAATGTGAAACAAATGTGTTATGTCATGGCAGCTATTTCAGATAAATACTGAAGGGAAAGTTGTGTTACAACGTACATTTAAAAACATGTATCTTCCTGGTCCAATGCACTGATTGTAAGTCGCTTTGGATAAAAGCATCAGCTAAATGCAATGTAATGTAATGTAATGTAAAAGTGATGCATAACATGTTTTATTCTCTAATAATGGGCAAGGGGCCAAAAGGCAAAATACAGTTTAAATGTCCTTGCAAATCAATTCATTGATAAATCTATCACCCCTTACAATTTAATGGCCATGTTAGCCATTAATCCTTATTAAGCACAATAAATGTTTCATATCAAGACTTTTGGTTGTCAGGGTGCCATGTGTATAAATCTTAATTATTTTTGCCTGCCTGGTTGTAACATCTATCTATAAATGTATGTATAACGATAAACTTTACTACTTTAACTACCTTCTTATCAAATAATAAACAACACATGTTTTTTTTTTGTCACATTAACATTGTATCTTATTTGTTTATTTTCCTGAGTATCCTCTTGTTTCTGTTTTCTTGAGCAGGCTCCTGGAGTTGCCTCCTTGGAGCCTTGTTTCTCCCTTCGGTTTTCTCCCCAGCAGGTGATAATGATTGGAGCTGATTTCTGACTCTATACTACGGTTTGCAGACCCCTTTTTGCCCTGAATTTAAGTGTTTTTAGTTTTGCACATGAGCATCTCTGGATGTGCGCAGACTTGGGCTCTCTTTTATTGTAATGTTCCATTAAACAATTGGTCATCTTGGAGCTCGAAGCAGCAGTGTGTAGTGGAAATCTTCCAACAATACAAAACATTAAGCTTGAAACTAACAAAAAGACTGGGTTCCCTCTTATGCTGTTTATTTGGTGTGTGCATTTCTCTGATTGACAGTAAATGATCTAGACACACACACATACCGTTACACTCACAAACACACATTAGCAATACAGTTTTGGTATGCTACAAGCAATTCACGCTGCATATTCAATTCTTTTTTTGCTATCAAACTTTGCTGATAATTAAACAGATGTTTGAATGTTGCGGTTACTTGACACCACATTTATCCTCAGTTGAGGTTTTTGATGGTTCATCTGTACAGAGGAGCACCACCTGTGATGGATCCTGGTGGTGCCGTATATTTGAACCTTTGTGGTCTACATAACAAGACTGGGCTCCTCTCATCACTGAGGAGGAATGGGTTGTCCTTATGATGAATAAAAACAGTCCCACCAAAGAGCTGTGCCTTTCAGCAGTATGTTCCATCTGGCTTCCCATCAAAAGGACTTGAGGTGGGATTGCTTCAAAGCTTGGGGTGCCCTTCAATGGCCGCCGAGGTTTCGCTTCTCTCCACTCATCCAGTCAAGCACAATGAACATCAGGCTCATGGTCATGAATATGAAACCCAATGCTGTGAAACACGCAGCCTGAAACCCCAACGAGAATATGTCAAAAGATTAGAATCACAAGGACAAACTAGTTTCACTTCCATGAACTGTTGTGTTGGCCTTCTCAGTCAGGGAGAGAACTCAACCTACCTGGATCTTTGGTCTGGAGTTCATGGGCTCGTGGTCAGTGGGGATGATCCGAATGTAGAACAGTCCCGGTAGGATGAAGATTAGACAGGGAGCAGTGGTTGCCCCTAGACACAGAGAAGGCATAATTCATCATTTCACTGTAAAACAAAATGTGTCTCAGAGAGAGATGTTTGCTGTAATGAACAAGCCATGGCATAGAATGATCAATTGGATATCCAGAAGTGTGGTCCTCTGTAAACTGCTTTATCTGGTTTAACCATCCATTGTTGCATTAATGCGAGACTTTGGAAAGAAGAAATAACATAACCTTCTGCTTACAAAAATACAAGTTTAGGTGTAGGCTAGTCTCTATAAACAGCATATGACTGCAGAATCTGAAGGTTACGGGACAGGATTTTAGTATCAGAAGCACTCTAGTGGGTGTTTCTAGTCAGAGTAGTATTGACCAATTATCTGAGCTGACTTTGGTGGCCCTCAGAGGATGTTGGAGATTGGGTTTAGGCAACGAAACTACCTGGTTTGGTTTTATGGTTTACATTTAAACCAAATAAAATTAACCCAAAGAATACATTTAACTTATAGGCTTGTCAAAATTCTCCAATTCCATGATTCAAATTGACTTTTGATTTGAAGGAAACTATTTAATTTAATTTGCATTGACAATTACATTTTTCAACTTCCTCTCAAAAAGAAAGGCTACATGATATCTGGTGTAATATGGGCAATATATCAGGTTCAAACTAACATTCTGACTGTATTCTACAATAACTTTAAAGATGTAGCAGCAGCTGAAAACATGCATTTTTGCCTTCAAAACACAGTTCATAATTTAGTGCTTTATAAATTAAAAACATTAAAAAGTGTTTTTCACACAAAGCCAGACAAGACCCAAGAACTGAAGTCCTGTGAATACAACACTGCTGAAGTGAGTGCTTTAACTCCTGATATTCTCATTTCATATTTATATGAATTTGTATGATACAATTTTATTCTGCATCCATAACTACTCTACTATACTAGTAGTGTTTGTATGAGACATTATGGTGATATTGTTATGGTAAACTGAGTGTCATCTGCATTCAAATACTAAGCCGTTGTTCTTAATCTGAGCAAATGGGAGCATTTAAATAAAAAAAGAGGCCTGAAAAGGAGTTTTGGGGAAATCCTTATGTTTGCTCAGATGTGTAATACCGATCGACACAAAGTATTGACAATCAGAGATTTAAACCAGTTTAGAGCTGATCAGTCCCAGTAGCGTAGCGTGGGGAAAAAAGTTGAGGAAGCCAAGGGGGGTTGTCATTGTTATAACGTAACCAGATGAATTATTACAGCGCCCGGTATCATTTTACACACATGTGTATCATACAGATGCAGGACTTGCACACGCCTGTTATCTAACCGAAAGGTCCGCACGGACTCTCCGGCCAAAAATCTCTCGTCTTATTAATTTATACATTTTCTTATTAATTTATGCAGCCAACACCCCACCCAAATGCATAGCCAGACGCTTAATGCGCGGTGCAGTTTCGGTAATGAATACAAGATAAGCATTCATTCACAAACTAAATCAGGAGACTATATAGTATCAGTATGTGTATGTTGAAGTATTATTTGAATTATTTTAAGTATTAAAGTAAACGTGTTATGGCAGAAAGTTCAATAAGGCGTATTTCTGGTATATTCCTTTTTAAATGTCCCATTTTTAGTATAACCTGTGACTTCTGCCTTGAGTGAAAAGATTACCCGGTGATGAGTATTTTTCAGAAAGTCTTGTAGCAGTTAGAGGCTCTGAGTCTTTTTGGTAATCATCAATAGTCTTTGTAATCAACAGGGGAATTCCCAGAGACATTTTCCTCAGATAATGCAGTTAAAGTCTTGTTAAAGTTAATGATTTATTTCCTGCAAGGCTCATACAGAGGCCTGGAGACCAGGGTCCTTTTGTTCTCATCAATAAATGTATTCATTCCAAGTAAGTTGACTTCGAGGTGAAAGGAAGTTCACAGAAGCCCTTAAGCTACAAGAACAATTAACTTCTGTTAAAGATAAAGATGTGTGTGCGTTAAAGATGCATAGAGAATATGTGTGTTCATTACTGTGGCCATATGTCCTGTATAATCATCATTGATCAACTATTCCTGTGTTTGTGTTTTATTTGATTTCTCTGTTTTATTCTTTCATGTGTGGGTACTGAATTGCTACAACATTTATGCAGTGGTTAGCTTAAACATGCTTAATTACTCTGTATGAAATAGAGGCAGCTTTTCATGACAGAGAAGAGAGCTGGGGGAGGAGACATTCTCCATCAGACACAGCATGTCAAGTATCAGGGAAGTCTACATATCTTAAATAATATGTGTGTGTTTAATTACTTTGTATCAATAATAGCAGTCTGTGCAACAAGAAGCTGGAAATATGATAAATGAAACCTTTATATTTTAGAGTAAGATGTGAGCGGGGGGGATATTCTTATGTGGACAATAGCTCAAGTCTCTGGAAAGGCTGCAGGCTAAATGAGTGTGCGCTACTATTTCACTGCTTGAGAGCAGAGGTAATGTTTTCCTCTCGTTATTATTGATATTAAGGTAACTCACATGTGTTATTTGTATATTACAACTATATCTTAAATGGCCAAAAGTATGTGGAACTGTGTGTGCTTTGGAGCTGATGGGAGAGGGGGCTGAAGAGAGAGAAGTCTATGCAAAAGTGCGTGCGCAGGCGGCAAGAATGCGAGACAAACGAACACCAGATGTGTTGTTTCCGGGTCTCCTGGCTGGCTCGCGCTGATTGGCTACGACACGCCATCGTTTTGCATCTCCCAATGAGATGACCTGTAGGGAGGAGCATCCACACAACTCCTCCTGTTTTGTTTTGTATGTAAGCTCGTGATGGGATTTATGGCTCTTTGAAGGGAGCCGGATCTTATGGCTCCGTTCCTTTCAAAGAGCCGTTCAAAAGAGTCGTTCAAAAGAGCCGTTTTTTTAAAGGGGGCGGGGTTACTAGGTTTATCTGCGAAATAATCACCAGGATAATGATTGACTGTATTGCCAGACCTAATGTCAATAATCTGCATTGTAAACATGACAAAAGGTGGCGCCATATTCATGTCAGTGAATGTATTTTGAATGTAGCCTCCAGCATCCAACTGCGTTTTCGCGTTTGGCTCATTTTCCATCCGAAAAACACGTTGTCTACCTGTCCTGTACCACTTGTTATGACTTCTCTCTCTCGCGTATTCCGTTAAGACCCACCCCATCTCACTCCTCGTGCTGAAACCTGGTGTTCACTCTCTGTCCTAAACGGATTGTTGGAGCTCGCCCCCCCCCTGTGAGCCCAGTGTGCTCTGATTGGTCAAGCGACGTGCAACTGCTCGTGAGGAGCTGCTGCGAGGAGCAGACAGGGTTTCCGTGTCGAAGATAGATACAGTCAGAGTAGGGGCGGGTCTTCACAGAATACGTTTTGGGGAACAAAATCAAGCTTTTTAAAAGGCTAGTGGATTTTGGCAGGCAGTGAGTGCGGACAAACGATTGAACGATAACAAGAACGGCTCTCACCAAGTACGACTCGGTTCCCCTCGTTCATATCAAAGAGCCGTTCAAAAGAACTTTTAATTACACCCGACTTTTAGAAAATGTGGTTTATTTTTACAACGGTGGAAAAGAAAGCAGATTTGAACAACCAAAACCGTCTTAAGTCCACCGCCCCGGCCGGTAATCCCGCGATCCCCGGCGGCGGGGGGGGGAGAAGGGTGTACAAACTAACAAGTAATTTTTTTTTTTAAACTGTTTTTTTTATTCATTTTTTTATATAATTTTTTTATAAAAAAAAATTAAAATTATGAGCCGAGGGTCTGCAACACTCGCGCGGTTGTTCGCTACGCTTGTTCTTAATCTTAACATCAATTCATTCAGTCACCGCGCCGTGGTCACATACTGTCCAGATGTTAGTATAGATCAAGAGTTTAGCAATCCGGGATGGCATGCTGACAGATTTCATGACTATTCATGCGTACAAAGGACCTACCGCCGTCGCCACATAGGATATGTGAGAGACCAGGACCGCCATTTTTCATGCAATCACTACACAGGCCCAGCGCGCT